ATAATATAGTGAACTATTACGTTTTACCACCTACGGTTTTATAGAAGGCTTCCTCTAGAGCCAGCGTGGGCAAATGACCAGAGAACACTAATACACATATTCAGTAGTTCAGTGAGGGCAACAACAGCCCTGCAAATAAAATATTCTTGCTCTGATTTCCTGCAACACTAATTGAATGCATGTAGGTTCCCATGTTAAAAACTTAAGTTGCTTGGTTGTCAACTACTAAATTAATCTCTTAGCCTGGCCGATGGTCTCACCCCTCTGCGGTATGCTGGCCATGGTCAGCTTATGACACTACAAGACTAAAATCACCAGTGTCCTCCATTTTCATCATTATTACGACTACAAACATAACTCACATAATCTTATGTGTCCTGTCACAACACCTGCCAAACTCAACCTTTCAGTGTAAGCTGTCCTGTACAGTGCTGTACCTGTCTTAACGCCCCAGTGTCTGTATGTTTTAACACCATTCATTTGTCCTGTCTTCTGATCTTCCTCTAATGTTCCTGTCATTTATTGCACCACGTGTCCTGTGTCTTTTTGTAATGTTATATTGCACAGAAAACACCAACTATTTAATCAATTGGCAACTAATATGATAATTGATTAATCAGTTTGAGTAATTTTTCAAAGAATTAAAAGAAAAATCAAAATTCCAGCTTCTTCAATGTGAATATTTTCTGGTTCCTTTACTCCTCTATGGCAGTAAACTGAATATACTTGTGTTATTCAATTTATAGTAAGGCTGTTGTAATCATGAATTTTAGTTGGTGATTAAATGTCATGCAGATAATTGCGATGTCTGTCTGCTGAGCGCATTCACATGCTCTCTGTCTTACTTGACCACACACTCTACACTCGCACTATACACTGAGCTATTCCTCCGTGTTTCCATCTAAAAATCTTTATGTGAATTATCTAATCAGAGAAGCTGGATGGCAACAATAACTCCTCCATAACATCCCCTAGAGCTGTCAAACACACTGCTGCGCCCCTTAGGGGAGACTCTCTGCAGGAAATCAAGAAAGCTCAAAAAAGAAGCAGCTAATAGATAAAGTTAAATTGTTGTCAGACGATAAACAATTGGTTCCAAGATTTCATTTCAGCCAATACATTCCGCTTCTTCACACGTCACACTTGTAACATTGGTTTTAAATTCCCTTAATTGTGAAATCCAACAAATATTCAAAATGATCACGGTGAGCTCAAAGAAACTCAATCAGGTGATTTCGTACTAATTGAGGCATACTATGACTGTAGAGTGACGTTATTTCCAAAGCAGTTGCTTAGTAAAAGGCACTTTTCAGCAGATTTCAGTCAGAAACTCTGATCATAACCTCCCCCTGAACAGGTGAGCCGTGCAGCATAAGTTACCATGGCAATCTAGCCACCAGAGAGGGAGAGCCACCACTTGGACATTGAAACCTTTTCCCACTAATCTCACTTCTCAGTACACCCCTCTGCTCAAAAGTGCATGACAATGTGATATTATTTATTACATTAAAATGCTGCATTACATTCTCCTCTCATCCTGATGAGCATTTGTTTTACATTTTGACAAGTTGATAATGTGGTTTCACCATTTCAGTTTTATCATAGTAGGAGAAGGCAGCAGTCTGCTGTCGGTGCTGAAACTGATGTACACTAAGCCAAAGCTCATTCTTCTCTCACTGACATTTCAGATGTTACATATAACAGCCCAGGCTTTGCAATAGAGAATACATATGATTGATGTCTTACATTTCAAGAATGATATGAATGCTTGATAGTAAGATGTGAATATTTTAACACCAGCAAAGATGATAAAATGACGAACCAGGTCTGTATATGTGGTTTTACATCCAGCCAAGGCCCTTCAAATGTTGCAGTGATTCAGTCTCAGCTAACCTCAACAATAGCTTATTGTGTGCCTTTATTGAAACCATAAACGTGGTCCAGAGTTTCTCAGCACTAGCAGCGTAGACTGGTTGATGAATTAGCTGTGTTTGTATTTTGCTTTGTTAGAACTGGTTATTGTACTTCTGCACCTTGACCACCCAATTTCCCTATTTGGGATAATAAAGTTTACCTCAATAAAGTGTTCCTTGATTCATTTTTTTCCTTCTCTGTCCTCATTTCCAGGACCAACGGAGAATGCCCAACTTGAAAACCACATAGACGATGAATTATAACAGCTGGAAGTGGGGGAAAAAAATCACTATTTATTGACAGTGTATAAATGTTCAAGTTCCTTCTCACTCTGTTTTTTCAGTTTGTTTGTTTTTCTTTATTTTTTGTCTTTATGTCCTTGTTTATTGAACTGCTGGAAGCCGATTGGATAAGGATTGGAGACCACTCATCCCCCCCCCCCCCCCCCCCACCCCCCCCCCCCCCCCCCCCCCCCCCCCCTTTCGTGTGCTGTTCATCTCTTTTGTCTTTCATGGATTCTGTAAGCAGGGGGCACATAAACACCACGAAGAAGCAGTTCAACAAAAATAAAGCCCCAAGACTGCATCTGTACGTTATCGGTGCAGGTCCAGACAGAATACTTTCTCACATCCAACGGATGATCACAACTGACATCAGCAGTGTTTGGCCATATTCTAACTATATGGACATCTGACAAGGCTGAGTGCTGTTCTACTCTGGTTTGTCATTCACAAGCATCTTACGTCCTGCTTTGTCCTCTGCACTGCGTGCTCAACCATGGCATGTGTATGTGAGATTAGTATTTGTCCTAACACCTGCACCTTTACTGACTCTTCATGGCCGCTGAGTAAGTGCACTACTTAATGGTGTTGATCACAATGGTGGGTGAGGGGTTGGTCAGAGTCGTTTGGAGGATTCTCGTGGATTTTTTTTTTTTTTTTGGTCCCAATCCAGATTTTAATTGGTCATAATATAAAATTTGTAGGCATACATGGTAAAGTGGCAGAAGCATTTAATTTACATACAGTATGTTTAAAACTATATTGAAATATCAGTCAGCTGATTTGAATGGAAAATGTCTTTAACCTGGTGAATCATTATATTAACTATAAATATGATGTAACTATAAATATGGTAGCATGGTCAACACATTCTCACTCTCAGCTAGTCAAATACAGCAGCTTGGTTAGTGGCCCTCTGCTGCAAACTGTGATGCTCTAGGTACCACTGTAACGTTACTTTTGGACGTGTTAGTTTCCCTGTCAGTTTCCGCTCATCACATGGTACAGTGCCTTTTAAAATAAACTTCCGTCTTCACGGTAAGTGTAGGTTTCACGGCCAGAACAACTTAAGAGCTAGGCAACAAAACAGCTTGGTTAGGCTTTGATAAAGATCATCCATTTTCTGTAACTTTAACCACATTACATGGCTAAAAAAACTTAAGTTGAATTGGTTTCACACGGGACACAAACAGCAGTCTCCTGGGTGAAAGTCCAGTGTATGTTTGACCCATCTACTAACCCTCAATAACTCAGACTTTCTCGCTCTTTTTACTACCTTATTGCTGCGAACGGGAGTACATTGACGTTAGTTGAAAGCGGATGTCTTTCATACACATACTGTAAAGTGCCTTGAGCGTAGGTAACAGATGCCAAAGGGTCTCCGACCAGGCTGCCGTTTTTGACACCCTGTGAATGAGAATGTGTTGGCATGGTACAGAAGCAACAACTCAGAAGTGGCTGTTAAATCAGAATGACTAAATTCTACTAACATGTTTACTATAGAGAATGATGGCTGACATTATACTTGACCAGAAATGCTTGCAGAAATGTGCATCATGTATGAACGTGCAAATAGTGGAACTACCTGTTTCTAAGCAGAACTACCAAGGGTGTCCTTTAGTGTTAAGTCACTTATTGTACATGTCATTTTTCAGTATAATTATTTGATTTAATATCCAACATAATACACCCCCTGTTGTTCATTTAGTTTTTTGTTTTTTTTTTCACCTAATTATTGGCTGAATAGAATCATGATAACCTCGCCTGATGGAGCAACAAAGGCAGCATTTTTGGGTCCATCATGTAGCAGTTAGAGTTGATTGACTGCTTCTGTATGTAAACACTGAACTAGTTCTAAAACTGAGCTGCCAAACAGGGATCATTCAGCATTTACAGAGTGTCTCCATGTATCAGCCTCCTATCATTTTTCTGATCCGGCTGGATAAACCAAAATGACTGATGAATTAGTTTTCCAACTGATGCCAATACAACCTTTGAGAAGTGCTTGAATGTGTTTCAGTGACAAACTCCATGTTTTCAAAGTCTCATAAGCTGCTAAATGTTGTAGAAGAGGCGGTGTGTTAGTGTCGTCACTGTTCTTTACCTCGACATGCCCTGTGGTGCAGATTCTTGCTGAGATGTTGGCTCCATTTTTCCCGTTAGAACAGGCAGCGGGGTGGGGGGGACTTGGATCAGGAATTTGGGTCAGCTGTGTGCATCTGTGTTTGCAGCACTCTGGATTATTTGAAGGGGGGAACTGAAGAAAAAAAGGCAGGAATGGGAGATGCAAACAATGTTGTGTTTCTAAACTGTTAATAAAAGATCTTTTTTTGTTTTTAATTTTATTGTCATTTTGTTAATGAGTTGATGTGATTAGCCAATCTTACTTTAAAGGTCAGGTGTTACAACACGCATCCATCATGTAGATTTGTCCTTGCCAGATGACCGTGTTATTAGTTGTTAAGCTATGCTGCACTGCTTTATATTCATAGTTTATTATTCACTGTTTCACATTCATCCAGGAGTGACATCTGTAAAGTTAATATGTTTTGCACACACTGAAATAATAATTTGCTAATTTCATGTTAGCTTTTGTTAGCAAGGTTAATACATCAATCACAAATCCAGCCAATTCATATCCTTCTTCTGTTGTCCTAATAGTTTTTTGTATTGTTTTTACAGTAATCTACTACACATTGTCCCCACTTTTCATGTGCCATAAATGCTAGCAGGAGGTTTGTGCCACAAACTGTGCCATGTTATATTTCAGTGACGGCTAACTTTTGTAGTTTTTCATATCTGTACCTTCATACCTAAAATAAGGAAAAATCAAAGTTGCTCAATTTAGAAAGTCCCTTTGCAATTATAGACCATTGATTTAAAAATTCAGAGAAGTGAAATGTTGCTTTGAGTTTGACTTTGCATTTTGTTTTTCCTTGCTGAGGGGGGAAGTGTTTCTGTGATTGTGATCGAAAAAGCCAATTTATAGATTTTAGTTTTACTCAGGAAATGAATATTATTTAGACGTCTCTTTTTCTTTGCTACTTCTACTCTCCCTGGTTTTGTCCACGAAGCTTTATTCTTCATCTTAATCTGAAAAGTAACCAGTTGGAGAAAAAAGTGCAAACTTTCCCTTGAAATGTGGCTGAGTTAAGTCAAATGACAAGGAAATGTGAAAGTACCTGAAATTGTACCCAAATACGTGAGTGAATCTTCTTGGTTACTTTCTACCACTGCAAACATGGACAACAATCAACAGAGCTGAATAATGCCAAATCCACGTAATGCATCAGAACACACCTTTTTAAAGTGGTACAAAGTGCTTTGAAGATTCAAATTGTGAACATTATTATATAACGTAAATCTTTATTTAAAAGCCTAGTTCCAATTCAACACCCAGTCCCTTTTACTATCCTGGTGTGGCTACACATTTTGACAAATAAACGGCTGTCTCAATTAGACACCTGGTCAGCCAGGCAGTTCATTTCCATAGAAGTTCTTTGGATGTATGAAACCACCTGGTTGCTGGTTACCCACAAAAGCTAACCTTAGACAGCTGTTTTGTCAATACGGAGATCGTTAGCTCGGTTGGATTCTCCACAGTTCAATAGTTGTTGTTGTGTTGTTGTGTCGATATGCTGGGTGCAGTAATCCTCTGGTGCCGTGAAACAAGTGTCATAACTTTCTCTCTCTGATGTGCTGTCTGTCAGAGCAAATGAATGATTTGTAATTGATATGTTATTCAAAGCCTAATTTTATACAAGTAATATTCATACAGGTTCAAATAAACAATATGATGACAATGATAATATGACTTGTCCCAAATATAAGCCTGGTAAATTCAGTGGTTTAAGCAAATAATAGCCTGGGCTTCTTATTGAAAAAAAAAAAAAAAAAAAGTATCTCTGAAACTGATAACAACACTTTGACCTCTGCAATGTGACAAGAGGCCCCAAGTAGATTCTGATTTTTTGTGAGGGTTCATGAACCAGTGGTTTACTCTTTAACCATGTGTTGTATTTCATGCATGTATCATGTAAATCTGAAAAGTAACCAGTATCTAGAGCTGACAGATATTATAGTGGAGTACAATATTTCCTTCTGAAATGTAGTATTTGTAGTAATGTAATGTAGTAACGGTATAAAGTCATAAAAAATGCAAATACTCAAGTGAAGTACAACTTAAAGTATCTTAAAATTGCACTTGAGTAGGTCAGCTTGAGTAAATGCACTGGGGAAATGCAGGCTAGCCACCTGCAGCCCTGTCTGAGGATTAGTCCTGACATCATACTGTGTCCAGCACTCAGCTGTAGTGAAGCTCACTTTGTCACAAACAAGCAACAGAGGCTGGGGAGCCAGTAGAGTTCACCCCCTGTGTGTCATGGATTTATAAACAAGTGCACTTCCAGATCATAACTTCATGTGTCTCCCAGGCTTTATAGAGAGCCCAGGCTCCTTGTGTGACAGATTCTCTGCATTGAGGGAACTAAAGAAACTATTTCCCAAATGACTATAATGTCAAATTCAGCTTCAAGTACTTCTGAAAGAATGAAACATACTGACAAATGAATATACTTTATTAAAAATACCAGTATAAAAGCACAGTATTGTAGCTTTATACATCAGCTTTGTGACATCTTCTGAAAGGACTGTAATAAAGACCATCAAAAGTCACCATAAATAATGAACATACATTTTGTCAAACAACTTTTAGAAATGAAAGTACAAAAACATAAGAACCTTTAAAAGTTATAAAAGTATATAAAAAAACCCCACTGAATGTAAGCTATAGGACCCATCACACTGCTTTAGTAACAAAAAATCCCTGACCTCAATTCTATTCCCCAAATATAAAATGTATACAAATGAATACAAAACCCGAAGTGGTGTGCAAGGCTACAAGTATAGTACTGAGTGTACAGTGCTGCTGCTTTGTCTGAGCTGTTAGTGGGGGAGGATTAAATCATCACTGAAGCATACCCAACAGTGAATATGAGGCTCTTTTCTTATGTCCTGTTTACATCTGTTCTTCTTCAAGGCTTGAATGAAGTGAATGTACTCAAATAGAAAACACACTTTTCTGGTATTCTCTCTCTCTTAGCTTATTCCAAGGAACCTGTTTTGTAAACTGTACTGTACCAGTGAATGGAACAGGACAAAATCCTTTCCAAGCTTTCTCTGTCACTCTTGTTGGTGCAGAATCATCTTAGGGGAGCCGATTGTGGAAATGTGCTTCTGATAAACAATGAAAGCCACCAGAGTAAGGCAGATGGCTCCAACGATGCCTGCTATGACTGAAACAGCCAGCACGGTGCTGTTCAAATGAGTCTGCCGAGCACCTGGAGATCAAAGACACATAGTGGATTAGACCATATAGAGCAACGTACACTTTCCACACTGATGAACATGATGGAAATGTGTTAAAGTAAAACATTTATGTATCTGTTATGTATTTCTCTAACTGTCAAGCCGATTTATTTTTTCTGATCATACATACGTGTACACAGGCAAGGTGATGGACTAAAGTTTAAGATCCTTCTATCCATTTTGTTTTTGGCAGCTTATCTAGGTTTTGGTTGGCAGAGAGACATATCTCTCCTCAGGTACTATATGTTCTCCAACCTTGACTGGAATCCAGCCAGTAGATATCCTGATCAGATTTACTGCCTCAACTGCCTCCATCTAAGCAAGGCTATTAGATGAAGGTTGGGTCACACTGTCTCATTGCATCATATCATTGGGGTACAACAGCTAGTGCACTATCATAGAACTTGGGGAAGATTAATTAATTTCACTAAGACATCCACAGTTGGCTTCAGATTAGAATATCTTTTATACAAAAAATAAAGATGGAGTTGAGAATTTATCTTTTGCTAAGCCCCGCCCCTTTGTGATGGTCTGACAAGCTGTTGGAGTAAGCGTGGAGCCCACACTGTAACTAACTGCACTCCCTAAAGAAATATTATCATATTTTTGGAAAAATGAAATAGTGATTCCAGAGAGAAGCAGACAGAGGGGTCTGGAAATATGTTTGAAGGATATATCCAGGATGTCAAACTGACTCAGCAGCAACAACAGGTTAAAAATACAAAGATAGTTAGAGGCTAAAGCTGAACTATAGGCTACAGATCACAGTGTAAAAGAGAACCACCACATCACTGCTGATCGCCACCAAAGACAATGAATATAAAGGGAAACTTTGCTGATATTGAATCAGCTGTGTGGCATCGCAGTGTGTGCACATGAATGGTCTTTGGCTTCGCCCCTGTGCCGCAGCCAGCACCTGGACCTCCGCCATGGGTAGTACAGGGATCTTCAGGGGAAGTCAAACAACGTTCATCTGCACACGATGCGATGACACAGCTGGTTGAATATCAGCAAAGGTTCCCTGCTTCCCTTCACTGGTTCCTGTACAGCAGGGTCAGTCTTTTTTCAGTCTTATAATAATTAAAAAGCAAAAGCAGCATGTGTATTCATTCAGTAGACTATACCTTCAATAGCTAGCTAGCTAACCCAACAATTTTCAGGGTTTGATTTGGGGTTTGGAACAGGGAAGCAATGTATATCTTTTATCAACTTCTCCAGGTAACGAGTATCATTGATAAAGGACGTGCCCCAGGCACAACATTGAGCTTCAGATCCACAAAACCAGCCTGAAAATGAAGGAAATCTAAAAACGATTGCATTAGAGTCAATGGAGCACAGCTATGTTGTTGTCGGACCCTGGTCTGAGCTGTCCCGGTGCTACTAAAAGACCATGAGCAAATGCTTTCTATTTAAAAACTTTTTATTAGTTTATTTCAGCCATCATCCATTCGAGTGTTCCCAAAAAGTTCTGTCAGGATGAGTGCTCCGCTAAAAAGAGTGTAACCAAAGAGCACCCAAGGGATAACCATCCCTTTATTTCTAACACCGTCTGCTGTAACCCTCCAACATCGCAGCTCCAGTTACATCGCATGTGTCATACTCCATAGCTCTCATGGGGTCAAAGACTGTGTCCTTGCCTTCATTTAATAGCCTTGCATCTAAAGGCATCAGTATACTTCAATGAAAGTGCTTGCCAGATCGATGACCGCTGTCTGACACCCTGTTCCCCCTCATCTTTCCAACAGTCAATCAGACAATCACGCCGACTTTAAAGCCAGGGTACAATGGAAACAAACTAGTTTTATTACATTGTTTTCACATTGTGGTGTGATATGCTGTTATTATACAAATACAGATTAAGGACACTTTAACACAAAGAAGCTGCAGTCCTACCCTGGACTCCTCCCAAATGTCTGAGCTGATCTGTTCTCACCTTAATGCGTATGGCACTAATATACATCACAACTGTCTGTTGGCGTGTCAGCTTCAGAAACTCCCCTGCTTCACACCTTTTTGACGTCAGAATTGGGGTGGGGGGTCTGACAATTTCTGTAACTTCCAGAAACCATCAAATTCACACCCACTTATGCACTGATAGGCAATCTGTGGGTGAGAAAGATGAGAAAGGAGCCATGGTTTGAACTTCTCTCTTAGGCTGTCTTTTTTCACTTTTACTCAACTATTGCTGTCACTCAAGTGAACAACTGATTGCAGCACTACGAATCCTTTCCAGCAGAGACTGTCTGAAAGGTCTGCATGGTTGTCTGAATCAAAGCCTATCAATGTGCTCAACTGCAACTTCCCCTCCCAGGACAGCCTCCAACACGAGGCCCCAGTTTACCTTTAACAGGCGAGGATACTTTGTCTGACCCTTCACTTTGGACAAATCCCCCACTGCTATTATTCCCTTGGAGCACCAAACTGTACAGTGAGGCTAACCAAATGATGCTTTTGTCCAATGTTCTTGTCACCTGTTTAATTTGATAAAAATACAGGAATGCAGGAAATAAAGTCATGTTTAAAGTGTATACATACCTCCAGAAGCCATCTGATACCCTGTGGGAGGACAACAGAAACCCTCAGTTCAGCAGACTGATGTGTGACAGATATGATTCAGCAAATGCATGACTGTGCCTTTGTCACTTGAGTATCTCTGGATTTTGAGGCAGAATATAGCATTCACATTCTCACCATTGTCTGAGCGGGTAATGATGGGGCCTGAGCTGACAGTGGCCATGTCACTCACTGTAGTACCCTGGTTGTTGTTGGCACTGCGGCGCCTCCTGGAGTTGGTGCTGCTGGTGCAGTTCTGTAGGGAATCAGGTGACTGTTGGTTGAAACAGTTTTCTAGCAGAAATACAGAACCCTACGCTGAGTATTTGAGACTTCAGATTGCCGTGACAACTTTCCATGAAAATACATCAATTGCTGAATATTAAAACTTTATATTTAGATCCATAGCATGACATAATTTCTGCAGTCCAGTATCCCAAGCACGGATAGCAGGGCAAATCTGCTCCTTAAGATTTGCATCCAATGCAAACGTTCTGTGCTACAGGATGGAAAAAGGTAGTGTCCCCTGTATGCATGCAGAAAGTAAGGGTTTGGAGGTCAGGGTGTAGCAGGAGACCTGGAGTTTACATCCGGTCCATGGATGGATTATTGAACAGGCCTACCAGGCAGAGGCCCAAAATGTCATTCAAATAAGCACTTAGTGACCAGAAAGAGAATCAAAAAGACCAGAAATAGATGCAAAAGTACTACAAAGAGACGCAAAATGACTACAGTGTAACACAGAATAACCAAAAAAGAGACAAAATTACCTTAGAAAGACCGAAATGACTACAAAAAGACCCAAAAGAGCCAGAAAAAGACCCCAAATGACTAAAAAGACAGACAGAGTTTTTTCTCAGAGAATCACAAAACAACCACAAGGAGACACAAAACCACAAAAGATGCATAACAACGACAAATAAATGCAAAACCACTACAAAGTCTCTATGTCATGTAGGAGAAGTGGTGGGACCCTTTGCATCTCTGTGCCCAGGGGCCCATTGTGTCATAGTCCGCCCATGGCAGATGGGCCTTAACCATACCGTAGACACCATGTATAAATATTGCAGGAAGCAGGAATTTGAAAATAAAAGTCATTACACAAAAAGCAGGGTTTCACAGAATTGACTTATATCTAAGTTCTTGTCTGGTGGAAGGTTTGCATTTGTGATCTGTGGTTTTGCATTTGTGATCTGTGGTTTTGCACCTGAGGGCAGAATCTGACCTGAATGAGGTTGGGGCAGAAGGTGTTCACACAGAGCCTGGTGGCACAGTGTACATAGTAGGTGGAGAGAGTATCGCCTGTGCTTTGGATGAAGCGGAAAGCCTCAAAGGAGAAGCGGGCTTCCTGCTGCTCTCCGTTGATGTCCATTACTGTCTGGCCATCCCGGTTACACCTTGAAGAAGACAAATGAGGATTTATTGTGTACTGTTCTGCAGAGTTTTCTACCAGGTTTCAGATTGACAAAGATTCTGAGATTCTGACCAACAGAGAGATACCTTTCCGTTTAGCATAGGCCCTGTTCACAGGTGCTTTTACCAATGAAACAGATTGATAATGTGACCATCCTCCTTTTAAAGGTTTTTTTTAATGCATAAATAACTTAAACTTCATGTTTGTATGATATACATGTATGACAAGAACCCTAAGAAGTAGACCAAAAGTGTTGAGATTTTTCTGAATGGATCATCTACCTGGAAGATCTATAGTAGATGTGTTATACTGTATATAGTATAACCTATTTATTTTTTTTAATATTATGTCTTTGTCAAAAAGCTTTGACTTTTTTTCTGAATCTAAGTCAAGTTGTTTCACTTTTCATCTCTGTATGCTTGTAACTCACCCAACAAAGAGATCGTGAGAAGTGGTGTTGACAGGGAAAGGCGAGGTTGTGGCGTAACATCGGTCCAGGAGCACGTTGAATCTGCAAGGAGTTTTGGTATCAGCACAGACTGATAGAGATAATCATGGTTTCCAGTTTTCTAGGTGAGACTGTATCTATTGGGACTGGAAAATCTCTACCTGTGGATATTGGCACATGTAGAGTTTTGGAAAAACTACTTATCTAGAATTTTCATTAGGGAAGCCTGTGTGTATTCTTGGGTTAACATGCGCACCAAACACAGCACCATTTTTTAACCAAATCTTTAGTATTGAACTGTAAGTATGTTCTTTATTAAGCAAATACTTGTTATGTTAGAATAAAAAAAGACAATCAATATACCTCTGTTGCCTAAACTTGTGTGAAGTACCTGCTAGTAAGGTTGGACGCCTTCACTTGTACAAAGATCCTTGTCTTTAGTTCCAGGCCTCCTGCCGGGATGTTCAGGATGGAGGAGTAACCATTATCCTTTAGAACCAATAACAAAAGAGAGGGAAGGATGGTGTTTACACTGATGTATGCCAGCCATTTTCAGAGTGCTTTGAGTTTCAGTATCAGTATTATAACTACCCATCTCTCCACACCAGGGGATGGCCACAGGAGGGGTTATGCTGCTAAATTTTGTTGTGTGAATTACATGATGAAGAGCTACAATTTAATTAAACATTTCTATATAATGGTATTTTCATCATTAGACAGAACAGAAAGAAAGAGAGGAGTGGAATTTAACAAGTAGCAATGGTTCCAGATTCAACAACCTCAACCCTCAACCTCTGTCAAGTAATTAGAATCATAAAAATAAAGCTACAAGCAACAATTCTGGGGTTAAAAGTTGGCAGTTGTGAAGGATCAAAACCATTGACAGTTTCCAACGTCTGCATTAAAGATAACTAACAAGTTTAGGACAATCAGACAGACGCTTATTCATTTATGACAAATGCTGTGTCTCAAATCACATACTTGTTAGTACACTTCCATGTAGTATACTATGTGCACTATGTACTTATTGGCGTAGTGCGAAAATTTAAACAGGATAGTGTTGTCTCAAACCAAACACAGCCGTTGTGCACTTAAAGGAAATGACGACCGCAAATTAGCTAGTTAGCAAACTAGCATTAGCATTCGCATTATCGTTCGCGGTACCAAATCATTACAGACTGCTAAATGAACCCAATAAACATACTGCTGGCTTATACCCGACAACAGTATAGTGGTGCTTAGTGCAAAAAACACATGTATATTTGTACAGTGCAGTGCTGTTCAGGGTCACACAGTCCTCTGCCGCCATTTCCAGTTTGAAAAGTGGTCCCTCCCCTTCTGCTACGTAGCCAAGATGGCGACCATTGAGGGCGAGAAGTGTGCATAGTTCCACACTCAACTTCTTGATCGTTTTGAGTGCACTATCCGGGTACTCATAGTGCACTGCATTTTTCCATACCTCTCAGTGTGAACGCACTTATGCACTCAAAATATTAAGTGTAAATATATAAGTACGAGATTTGAGACACAGCCAAAATCTGTATGGGGCAACACTATTCTTTGGCAACACCACCACCTCCTATTGGTGAATTTCAATTTCAGTTTTTGGAGACATATTTCAACAGCTTAATTAAAAATATCCACAGAGTTTGGTGATGTTTGGACAAACTTTCACTGATTTATGGCTAAATTGTGTGTCAGGCCAATACACTTGTTTGGAAATCGTGGTGCCCCCTTTAGAGCGATTTCAATATTATTTTGCACATGTGGTTCAACATCATTATAAAACATATACTGTGAGTTTTATAAGGATTGGACAAACTATTTCTGATCTATAGTCTGGTTTGTGTTATGCCACGCGCATGCTTTGCATTTGTAGCGCCCCTAATGGTTGATTTGAATGAAACTTTCAAGGTATGTTACAGGTTCTTATGTAGAAGTGTCATACAAGTTTCATAATGATTGATCCAACAGTTGAAAAGTCAGGTCTATTAATGTGCTGAGCCATGTTCCTTTAAGGCTCACCTGTCAATATTTTCAAAATGCATAGAGATTAATTAAGAGATAGATCAACAAGCTTTTGATAAATTTGATAAGCTTGGTCTAATTGGGCTTATGGTTTAGGAGGAGATGTCAAAAATGTAATTTTCAAATAATTCAAAATGGCAGAAAATCAAGTCAGGTGGACGTAAGTGGTTTTTGAGGCAGATCTGTAGAGTAAACAGAGGGATGTTTCACCAAACTTTGACACATGGTTTTAACTCCTTATAGGAGCTATGCCTTTTCAAAGTTAATCATTTTGACCTTTAACTATAGTGCCCCCATCAGGCTGATAATAAAAGTAACAAAACAGAAAGTAACATGGACAACATGAAATGTTTTAGGTTCCCAAATACACTATTTTGCTTTAACCAGAGTTGGATAAGAAAATCAACTCCAGAGAGTCAGGAAGTCACTAAAACAGAAAACACTGAAACAGTCCAGCACATGACTCCACATTAAACCATGAATTTTCATATTAACACTTTGTTTTTTGTATGGATTATACAACTGAGGTATAATGTGTGTAATGAATCCCTCCTGATCTCTAACTCACATATTCAAATATTCTGCCTGGCTTTGCCATGCTGTTGCAGTGATTAGCACTTTCGCCTCACAGCAAGAGGACACTGGCTTTGTACGCACTGGCTGGTCTGGGCCCTTCTGTGTGGAGTTTGCATGTTAGCTTGGTTTTGTTCCGGGTTCTCTGGTTTCCTCCCACAGTCCAAACACATACAGGTTGGGTTAACTGGTGACTCTAAATTGTTCGTTGGTGTGAATGTGAGTATGTATGGTTGTCTGTTTATGTGTCTGTGTGATAGTCTGGTGATCTGCTCAGGGTGTACCCCACCTCTCGATCAATGGAATACACTCCAGCTTGTTGCAACCCCAGATAGACTAAGCAGTTACATAAAATGGACTGGACTAAATCTCTTTTCATTTCCCAGCCATGCCCGCCTTCCGTCTAATAACTTCTTTTCCGCCAGTCCTACCACCTGACCTGCTCCTCCCACTAGCTCACCTTCTTTCCTTTTCCCTGATTGCCTCAGCAGTACACTATACTCGTCTATTTCCACTAGTCATTTGCCAGAATCCATAAATCTAATTCTATCATCCTTGACATGTTGTGATTATGTGTGAGTTGATGTCCTGTGTGACAAACACACAGCTCCAGAATCCTCTGAACTGGAGAGGCAACAGATTCTCTTGTGAATGGTTTCCTTGATTGTAAGACATCCTTGTATTTGGAAGACATCTGAAAGGTAAGATGATGCCACTTTGGTCTTAAATGCCATCATTGTTTTTTGTGACTCTTCCTTTTCAAACAGTGAGCCAGTCACATAAGCAACTCACTGTCATCACCTCGCTCTCCTTACCGCGTAGAGTCCCATGCTCAGTGTGCTGATGAAACTCCCATTATTGTCTTTGACTGCCAGGCTGACCCCAGACCTGTTGGACAAAGAAATGTTCTTTCAACAGCTTGAAATTGTTACGGGAAAAAACCCAAGTCGTCCAAACCAGGTCATATTTAATCTGATACACGAGGAACACACTCAAGCCCTTCTGAAACTAGACACGAGAGAAACACACACCTGTGATGATGCTGGCTGCTCCTTGAGGCGTTCCCACATATTGTAACTTGACACTTTTTTAGATATAGTCAAGCTGAGCTGAGGTTCATCCATCTACAGTCGACTTCTTTTGCACACACGTTTTAATATAAGAAATCAGAAACATGATTTAACACTTACTATCCATACCTAAACACACTTCCCCTCTATGCTGCCCATTTCCATTGATTTAATCTGACACACCTTTTTTTTAATATCCCTCATCACGTGGCTACTGTGATCCGTTAAATTCATCTAGATCCAGTGAAATTCATTGTCTAGTGTATTGAGGTTATTGTTTATAATTTCCTGTTGATTCATTTTGAGTTAGCACTCTTGAACTTTAACTTCAACTTTATTGTCCCAAATTTGTCATACAGACATGAAATACAGAACAAACTTGAACATAAAACATGTAATAAAATGTAACATGTAAAACATATTCTAAAACTCACCACACAAACTGACACAAAACAAAGTACATAAATGACAGCACAACATTGACTCTGTATTATACCCAGCCATCGTTCATGGTTAAAACAACATCACAATGGTTACCCGTGAACTTAATACAAGAGACTGATCATCCTGAGTATTTCAGTTTAAAGACATGAGATATGAAACAGTTTCTCCCCGTCACACCTGGCCTTTGATGCTCTGAATCTTCAGAGGAAGGAGAGGACTCTAAAATGACTCGAACCTTTGAAATAGCTCTGTTGAGAGAAAGGTGATACAGGTCTTGCTGTTTAATACCTACAACCTCACAGGCCATGTTAACTATCTGCAGCCTGTTCTTGTCACCTGTTGAGAGAGTGCCAAACAAAGTGATAAGATAACGGCTGACTCAACCATGGAACTGGGTCAACGTCGCCTATCAGTTAAAGACATGACATGTGTGCGGTCCAATGTAAATCTACACTGAAAATTAACAGGTAAACTGACCATATTAACTGCATTAGAGCATTTTGGAACAAAAATTCTAGATCAGCAGTTATCAAAATTTTAATGACAGGGTGCCATTTTAGGGTGCCAGCACATGACTGAGGACCGCACGGGAAACGTGCACTATAGGCTACTATAACTTTTTTATGACTTTTGTTATGATGTTTTCTTGACATTTGTTCATGGCATGGCATTTATATCTTATATATTTATATCACTACAGTGATATAGTCTATGTAACACTCAATTACACTCTAGTTTTCACCTTTTGAAAGGAAGCACAAAGGAAGTACATTTGAAAACAATGATATAGAAAGACATACATGTACTGTAGCCTGTACCTACAACGAGTTTTCATCCCAATCTGTCAAATACCGCCGCTTCGTCAGTGTCCAAAATGTCAAAATATGACACCCTGGGAAGCCTCCTTCATCCGTTTTTGATGTTCACAGATGTCAAAAGGGGCCATGTTTTTTGTGCCCAAAAATTAATTGATGCTTGTTAAATGCTTGTTAATTTTCAAAATACATTTCCTTTTTACAGGAATTGAACAGTTTTGCTCTTTATGTATACAGTCTTTTCAAAATAAACTCAATACGTAGGTAAAACACCTCATTTTTACGTTTATTTCCTTAGGCTTAGGGAACAAAAGCATGTGGTTATGTTTACAAAAAACATCCATGTCATGTCATGAGACATATGACATGTGGCAAATGTCACTGCTGTAGCATGCTGCACAAACTAGCACATTGTCTTTATTAAAAGTATGCCACTGACTTTTGGATTCACATGGGAAACAAACAGCAGGCTCTTGGGTGAAAGTCAGGTGTTTGTTTGACCTATCCACCACTCCTCCCAACCCACCTGATACAGACTTTCTCGTTCTTTATACTGTGGTAGTTGCTGGTGGCATCAGAGATAGCCACCCATTGATTATCATACTGGTGCGAAGAGTGTCTTGGTGTGTCAGTATGTGATGCTGACATCAACTGACAAAGCAGCGGTATTTGACGACTTTGGTTGTGGTGTCAGGAGTAGCCGCTGCCCAGTGCATATCACACCTCTGCCTCTGTGTGTCTGTATCTGACACCGAAATTACTGACAAAGCGGTGGTATTTGGCGGGTTTGAAATGAGAACGGGCTGGTACCTACCCACAGCAGTAGAGCTACAGTTTCTGCAAATCAATTTTCTCTGGGACATTTTGAGCATATTTGAATATTCGGCAGGCGTGTCCCTCAATGTATCTTAAAATTACTGCCTAGACTTACACGCTCATCTGAGTGTTGTTGACCAGATACTGCAGTGGGTAACGGCAGGAGAACCTGTACATCACTTCCTGGTGATAGGTGATGGCTCCTGTGCCAGGGTCCTCTGAGCAGATCATGCCTGTGATGCTGATGTACTGGACGGTGGAGAAGTCTGAAAAGACTCCAGTTCCCACTTCCTCTGTGACCTTTGAGGAAAAAGAGTTTAAAGTTGTTGAGTAAGAATCTGCTGTGTGAGTAGCATTTGCTGAGTGATTTATTATTATTATTATTATTATTATTATTATTATTATTATTTTTACAATAGATAACCTACAGTCAGTGTGCTGGAGCAGGCAGTGATCCCCTCCTCTGTGATGGAGAAGTTGAATTTGACAACAGGTGGGTCTGTCGTCCAGTCAGGAGTCCCTTTACACTGGTGTTTAGAGTGCTCTGAGTTGAGGGACAGCAGTGACTCGTTGTATCCATTAAAATAGATGGGACATAGGAGGATGTTGAGGTCCACTGTCTGAGAGCCACAGAGGACCTCAATGTCTGAGTTGGCTGAAGAGAGTGGGGATGAGACCAGAATCAACTTTAAGGATTTTGAAGATGACTCAGTCTGTGGCTGAGGGGCAGACTGCTCCACAACTGGCTTCCTAAAGGGGCACTCCACCGATTTAACACATGTTGAGTTTTATTTGTCACGAGGAGTACTAATCAGCGTGTGAAAACAGTCCCATGATGTCTAGCTAAAATAGACAGGATTTAGATAGGATTGAAAAGAATCTTGGGTTGGGCTTTAGACTATATTTCAACAGGAGGCAGGTGTTACAATTTGTTCTTGAGAAAGGTCCTAAGAAGAATCTACATCAGATTCATGGTCCCTTCCCTACCTTTATCCCCCTAATAAAAAGAAATCCATATTTTAAAACCCAGAAAGTATTTTTTTTAAAGTGTATCATGATTTTGAAATAGATGATACCACACATTATTTAATTGCAACATAAACATTGCTTTTTCCTGACATATTATCCAGTAATAACATTACTATATCCTAATAATAATTTAATACGTGCTTAGTATTAACAAAAAAAAAATAAAAAAAATCATGTAATTCATTCACACACACACTTTATACGGCTCTAATTGAACCCCATTTGATGAGCCTTGCCCTAAATTTCTTTCATCCTGACCGCTGTGAAGGCAATGCAGAAAATGTACTGATCATAAAACTGATCACTTTTGAACAGTAGTTTGAACTACTTTTTCTGAGCAGCTTAACCAAACTCATTTTCACCTTTGGGTAGCTTGGCTGTAGTTCCACTTGTTCAAGTGTGAAGTAATTAGTAGCTTGCAAAGCTATGCTTTTAAAGTAGCTTCCCCAGCACTGGTCATTGAGCTTGTTTTACCTTGTTCTGACAAGTGATGAATAATGCCTGCAGCTCCATTTTCAAATTCCCCAAAGCTGTAACACACCTCCCCAGAGATAAAGACCCCTCCTCAGATAGCATGGCTGCCACTGTGCTGATGCTTATTAGGTTGCAGCAGAAAGAGAGGTGTGAAAGGAAAAATAAGGGTTGGGGGGGGGGGGGGGGGGGGGGGGGTTAGTAGGTGGATAAAAGAGTGAGCACTGCCAATGTCACTGACCTGGACTTCTGAATGTGGAGTGTCCAATGCAAGCATGTTGTGCTTGGGTGTGAAGGAGTGTTGCAAGCTGATATGTAAGAAGGGCCAGCCACATTGTCCTCAAACTGCTGGAATAAAGACAGATGGAAGAAATCAAACATGTTCTCCTCTCTGCTGGATCATGTTGGAGAGCTCAAAATGCTATAAATGTACAAACAAGACCAACTCCATCACTGATCACTCCAGAAATGCAGGTACTCAAATCGTTTACTTAAGTAAAAGTAGCAAAAGTAACAAGATTTAAATTGTGAACACTCATATTTCAAATCTGACATTAAGTCCTCAAACACAGGATTTCAAATTAATTAGTAGCTGCATTATAATGACATTAGTCTTACAAGGGATTTCAATGGTCAGTCTCCGAAAGCTTGGAGTGTTTAACTGCAAAGGTACAGACATGTTGTTCAAGTGTGGACTTCAGATGGTTTCCTTGGAATCTGTTTGATGCATCACTGAGTAGAGCATACACTGTAAACTGGGGCAAATCTATTCATAACATACTTTTAAGGTTAATTAGCTAATTAATATGAGACTAATATGAGGGAAAAAACCTAAAATCTATCAATAACAGTCAACAGCACAGACCTTTGAGGGATAGCTGTGACATATATCAAAGTCTAATTCTTAGAGTTAAAACTGGCACCTAAAACAAAATTATCCATATAATTTGTAACCAATATATATACATTTCAAGAAAAAAAAAATCTTTAAAGAGTTATTTCTTACCTTGTGTGGATGACTACAGAGTGTTGCCCAACCTCTATCTCTCAGTATGTCTTTTCTGTGTCTGCTCTTACCTATGTGACTTTCAGCCATTTATACTGGCCTCCTTTCCAGCTCAAACCAGTCCACAGGAAACCCACTGAGAAGAAAGGGAAAGGCAGAATAGCAACACAAGCTGGTCGGATCCAACAACCGGATCATCTAACAGACTTGGAACAATGGGTGAACCTATATGGAGTGTCCTTGGTCGAGAGGAACATTGTGTCAAGTAGCCATAAATTTAATGTGTCATTTCAGCAGTGACCTCAACTGCCTTCATTTTTCTAAGGCAGGCGTCATAATGTAGATGGGTTCTATTTTAAGAATATCAATACGAAGGGACAAGATCACTTACTGTTTTTTTTTTTTTTTTTTTTACATTTCACAACACACGAGATTTTAGAAAACACAACAACATTTGAGAAATATGATATTTTAGACAACATGACATTTCAGAAAAAAACAGACATTTCAGAAAACGACATTTTAGAAAACACGACATCATATAAGAAAAATGTGACATTTCATAAAACACAACGACCTTTCAGAGAAACAAAACACTTCAGAAAGCACAACATTATAGCAGACATTACATTTCAGAAAACACAACATTTTAGAAAACACCACATTTCAGAAAACAACAATTCAGAAAACACAACAACCTTTCAGAAAAACATTACATTTCGTAAAACATGACATTTAAGTAAATAGAATATTTCAGAAAACTCAACAATATTTCAGAAAATGACACTTCAGAAACAACCTTTCCAGAAAACACTGCACTGTACTAAACATTAGGCTACATTTCAGAAAACATGCCATTCCAGAAAACACAATATTTTACAAGAAAAATAACATCTCAGAAAGCATTACATTTGACAAAACACTGATTTCTGAAATGTTGTCATGTTTTCTAAAATGGCATGTTTTGACTCCTAGAGCCACTGCAGATAATTATTTCCTGCTGATAAGAAATAGGGTTTGTAGGTTTTTCTTAAAACTCAGTAGGTCACAGACATGATGAAATATAATTTCATAAAATATATTAAACTCCAACTGCCAGGATTATAATACAATCAGAGCAAATCCACTAAACTACAAATAAGTATGAAGACATTACATAACACCTGTTGAATTGTTTCAACCATAATTATTATGTAAGGAAACCTACAAAAGGCCGTGTTATAAATTCTGCTCCACTAAAGTGCTGTTTTTTTGTTTTGTTTTTCTTTTTTTGTCGCCGCATCCCCCTACTTCTGCCGGGGGCTACCACTCTTTGTTTAGAAATTAGGTCTCCTGTACATCATGTCAGACTTGGAGAGAAAGGTGTGAGCTGCCAAACAAAACCTCCACAACTGTCACCTGAACCATGAATTCCACCAGATGCCCTCCAGAAATCCTGAGACCTCGTCCCAACAATGGAGTGGAGATGGGCTTACACAGGGCTTAGCTTTAAGTAGGTGTCCTGTCTGCCCTTTTTCCCATTCAGCAGCCATAAGTGTATCTGAATGGGTTATTAGACACAGGTTACCTCCCAGATCTACTATTTCTTAATCCTGGGAGCTAAAGCTTGAAGGGGACATGATGTTCGCACAAACACAATATATGTATGTTTCTGTGCCACATGAAATTCCTCTCTCATGAATCATGTTTGGCTAGCCAAGTTGCAAGAGAAAAATGTTGGCATTGTTTGTTCCTGCAAACCACAAAATTGTTGTTCCCTCAAACCCCAGACCCTGAAGCAAATTGGTACAATGTCTTTCAAAAACATGGGGGAAAAATCAGAGGAAAAAAAAGTTTTTCATTACAAGCTCTGGAATTTTCTTTTGTTAAACATTTTCCCAGCTGAGGGTCCAGTGTCCAAAAGCTTGGCTCTATCATTAAACATACTGGACCAAAGTGTGCTGAACCTTCAGTTTTTATGCTTGGTGTTTTTGACCTTCATGCATCATGGTGTCATCATATTTTGCTTAACCTTCTTGACGGAATCACTATAGTCACTGTACTTCATTATACGCAAACAAAAAGTTACAACGATTGTACCACTGTTAGTGCTATTGATTACACAAACCTGTTTTTCCTGCCCTGATGTGACAAAATATCTGCTGTTTGTCAGTGGAACATTGTAGCGATAAAAAGTATGAAACTCATATCAGCCTCTCCATCAACAGCTGAATTCTAAAGCTGTTTAGTCGAAAAACATTCAAATGATACGACCTAACACTTCCTTCAGATTTTTGGTGCAGTATCTTTGCACTTTATAATGCTTCAAAACTAAAGAGCTGGCAGTGGACTTCTGCAGGTGCAAACACTCTTCAGGTAATGGATTTGAGATGGTGAAATCTTACAAGTACCTGGGTGTTCACCTGAACAATAAACTGGACTGGTGCACTACACAAGAGAGGACAGAGCAGACTCTATGTGCTGAGGAGACTCAGGTCCTTTGGAGTACAGGGGCCAATCCTGAGGACTTTCTTTGAGAGGGCCAGCTCTGTCCTGGGATGCTCCCTCGACCCAGTGGAGGTGGTGAGAGAAAGAAGAATGATAGTCGAACTCATTCCTTATGGACAACATGTCCCACCCCATGCAGGACACTTTGACAGCACTGGGCAGCTCCTTCAGAGACGGGCTGCTTCACTCGTGGTGTTTGAAGGAGAGATGCTGCAGGTCCTTCCTGCTGCTGTCAGACTATACAACCAACACTGCTCCCAGTAGACCACACATACTAGCACTATGGACAATCCATCATCACTCATGTGCAATATATATCAAATGTGAAATATCTGCACACGATACGTGCAATAATTATTTTTCACTGCTCATAATCATCTCTCAGGTGCAATATCTGTACTATCCCATCAATCAGCCATTCAGTCTGTTTATTATATTTTGCTTATTATATTGCTGTTTACTTATTACACTGAGCTGTGTTCGTCTCTTTCTTCATACATACTTACATTTTGTTTTGTTTTATTTTCTACTGATTTTCTACTGCACTATCCCCCTGCTGCTGTAATGTTCCAAGTTTCCCTGCAGTGGGTCTTAAATGTCTGTCATAATAAGGGAGAATGTGTTGCAGAATGGGATGGCATTTACTTTACAGAAGATATTTACAGAAAAAACATAAGCTCCCATTCAACCTTTGAAGGCAATTTCAAACCACGCTGGACTGAATGCTTGGATCTGAGTTTAATTGGCAAACACTCCAGTTAAGAGCAGTTGCTCCACAGTAGCCTTGGTGAGTGCACATGATGCACGTGCATCCTTTCCCAGCCATTTCCACCCTTTCCAGGTGTGTTCCTGCAATCTCCTCTATAGCCTCACTGGTTGAAAAGTGACAATCGATTTGACCTCATTACAAATAGAAACAAAACTAATGAGTGGTAGTAAATCACAGCTTTAATCTCACAATGATTGTTTCAACAGTGCCATCACAATTAAGTCTGGCGGTAATAATGTAAGGTGCATGTACACATTTCAGTATCACGATGGTGCAAAAGCAAATGAGACGTTCTCAGTATTTAAGAGCACTATCTTACATTCATCATTAATTTATTCAGTCATTTGTTAAAAATGTTGCACGTCAGAAAAATAACGAAACACTGAGTTAAAACAAAATGGCAGGCTACAATTCCAATGATTCACAAGACATTTACAACATAAGGCCTGGGCTGGCTGGCATTCATTCATTCATTCTCCTCGAAATGGTGCAAATAAAAATCACAAACGCCGTTTTGGCAAAGTAAACACCAGACGCAGTCAAGAGGGTTAAGAGATCGTCTTGATGGTGGTCAGGTGGCTGAAGTCTCTCTGTGTCGGAGCCTCTGTCCGTCCCTATTTGGAGCTGGTGTACTTGGTCACGGCCTTGGTGCCCTCGGACACGGCGTGCTTGGCCAGCTCACCGGGCAGCAGCAGGCGGACGGCGGTCTGGATCTCCCTGGAGGTGATGGTGGAGCGCTTGTTGTAGTGCGCCAGTCGCGACGCTTCCCCGGCGATGCGCTCGAAAATGTCGTTGACAAACGAGTTCATGATGCCCATGGCCTTGGAGGAGATGCCGGTGTCCGGATGCACCTGCTTCAGCACCTTGTACACGTAGATGGCGTAGCTTTCTTTCCTGCTTTTGCGACGCCTTTTGTCTCCTTTCTTCTGAGTTTTGGTCACAGCCTTTTTGGAGCCCTTCTTCGGCGCAGGAGCTGATTTTGCAGGATCAGGCATTTTGTCTGTCGTGTTGGTGTCTGGGAAACAGCAAGAACGTGCACAGCTCGCGTTACCGCCCCAATCTCAGCGCCTTACTTATAACATGGCTGTGCAAATCAGTGTGTGCCATTCCACCTCTGTGATTGGAGCATCACTGACCAGAGGACAGTCATTACCGGAGGACGCGTTGCGCCATTGGCTCGTTCGTTTCAGTTTCAATCGGCCAATCAGAGAAGCCTCTGCGGTTTATATACCTTTACTCACAAAGGCATTACGTAAAGGTCCAAGCTCTTCCATCTGTAGTGTAACAGTGTATCAGCTTGTATACAAACTACATTTGTAACCATCATGTCTGGCAGAGGGAAAACCGGAGGCAAAGCCAGAGCAAAGGCCAAGTCCCGCTCCTCCCGGGCCGGACTCCAGTTCCCGGTGGGTCGAGTCCACAGGCTACTGCGCAAAGGCAACTATGCGGAGCGCGTCGGGGCCGGGGCTCCGGTGTATCTGGCGGCCGTGCTGGAGTACCTGACCGCTGAGATCCTGGAGCTGGCGGGCAACGCAGCCAGGGACAACAAGAAGACCAGGATCATCCCCCGGCACCTCCAGCTGGCCGTGCGCAACGACGAGGAGCTCAACAAGCTGCTGGGAGGTGTGACCATCGCTCAGGGAGGAGTACTGCCCAACATCCAGGCTGTCCTCCTCCCGAAGAAGACGGAGAAACCGGCCAAGAGCAAGTAAAAGACTCCCCGCAGGCCCCGGACAAAGGGCTCGCCCCGGAGCCAGCCACTTTTTTCATATCAGTGTTCGTTTTTTGGATGATCAAACCTTTCAAATAGGGGACAGTGTGTGTTGTTGCTGTTTCTACAATGAAAGCATTCACTCGCTTCTCATCGGGACTATTCATAGACTGCTCTGTCGCCACTGTTGTGTTGTCGGCTCCGGAAAATGGAGGCGCTATCTAAAGGCTGGGGATGAAGGCCGGAAAAAACAGTTCTTAATATGGACCAATTCTAAAGGGAGGGGGGTGATTTCGTTTCACAAAGCTGCTACAAACGTTACAATTTGTTGTATTGTTTTATGTCATGTTGTTTCAATAAATGTCCTGTGGCCGTTTGGCACAGGAGCGAATACATTTCAGTGTTTATGTATGTTGTCATCCGGGGACTTTGCGGTTTGTCTTTGTGAGAGAGGCGCATAATTAGGCTGCAGCTTTTCCAGGATTAACACTGGTACCTTTAATATCACAGAAGCAGGCATGTCATACACAAGGTTCAAAACATCTATAGGCTACATCACAGCATTTTATAATAGAATTATCAATGGCATAATCCTGGGTAATGTTTTGCTCAAGACTTACACAGATTACATGATGGTTGTTCTTACTCAAATTATCTTTTTATACATTGCTACAGCTGATATTGGGTGCAATGTGAAAATATATTAGCTAGTTCTCACAATATGTAATTGGTGGATATTAATTCTGTAGTAAATCAGACACTCTTTATAGCCTACCATTTTTTTCATACAAGGACCATTTCTGATAGTTTACTACACGTTCATAATTTCCACCCTGTGTGCTGACCAAACTGAAGTTATAGTTAAGTTAAAATGAAATGTAGGGTGCATGAAATGGAATGTAAATCTGGGTCTCATCTCCCTTATACACCTAGCAACATTGAGTTGAATGTACATTTTTATTGTCCTGAAACATCTATCTATATTTATCTGTCTCTTCTGTCTGGGGATGATGACTGGGACATATTCAGCCCAAATTATGCTCTGCCTCGGAATTATTTGAAATTCAAATCCATAAATGAACAGATGTAAACTCAGATGCCAAGGCTTTGGTGAGGTTTACACTTTCTAAGTTAAGATTTGGTAAAATAATACTTAGATACTTAGTGACCTTTGAACTTCACTGATCTCCTGTCTGCCTCTGAGGAGGCCTGAGTAGATCACACTGCCCCTGGAGCTCATGACACATATTACACTCCCTTTGACTTGTTTGCTGCAGTTATTCTCAGATGACTCTGACAGCAAAGAAAATGCATTTTTATATATACTAATTTATCCAGTTGAACCTTAACCTTGATTTAAAATATTATAGAAAACAGATATTGTATGAATTAATCATTAACAAATACTGTAGCGACAAGAAAAAAACATTTACTTTCTAAATAAGTAGCAGATACAGTGACAGTTTTAATATGAGAAATGTACGTATATTAATATAGGATACAAGTACTGATTATTATATTTGTCTTGTTCTAATTTACCTAGTAGTACAGTACACTGTGCTGCCTAAAATCACAAAACAACACGACAAAGAAGCTCAAGAAAATGTGATAGTCATATTTTAATCGTCATAGATCTTTGTCATTTTCATTACAGGAGGGTTCATTAACCATTGTCAATAGTAATGTAAGGTAAGGTCTTTGGGAATATTCATGCTTGTTCAGTTATCAGTATTCACTGTGATTAATCCACTTCCTCGATGGTAGGCCCAGAGGATCCTCCGCCGGAAGGAGCACCACCAGCTCCAGGGAAGCCGCCTGGCATTCCACCAGGCATATCACCAGGCATGCCCCCAGCACTCTGGTACAACTTGGTGATGATGGGGTTACACACCTTCTCCAGCTCCTGTTGCTGGTGCTCATACTCATCCTTCTCTGCAGTCTAGTACAAAAAAAAATCAAATCACATATTCTTATATTCAGCAGGAATTACTTTACAGTATAAACTATTATAATGCTGCAACACAGATGAGGATAATAGCCACTGGAATCATTATTCTCTTATGATATGAGCAACATAACTATGAGTCTTAGCAGATATGTAAACCTGCAAAATAGAGTCACTGAAATTTTGAATTGCAATGCAATCAGCACTACTTACACCCTAGTATGTTATCTACCCACATGTTGAAAAAAGACAAATGAAAGTCACTTTTGTCATTCATATGTATTTGTCTTTCACTTTCAGATATCCACAACGTTATTTTAGATATATATAAAATGTTCATTCGGGATATCTAAAATGTTGACGAGTAAACAGGATGCAGTTTTAACATAAAAAAGGGTTCACTGACCATCCACAATTATATTTTTGATATCCATGATAGCATTTCTTCTAGTCAAAATTATATTCTTATTAGTCAAAATAAAAATTTGAGATATTTGCAGTCACATCCCTACTAGCAGAGATTGCATATCAAAATATCTAAAACTCTATTTCTCCCAGGCAAAGTTCAATTTAGATATTTAGAAATCCTAAAAAGTGCAAGTGGCTGTTGTAATATTTAATAATATTACATTGTTACTGGTTGTGGATATCAGTAATGACATTTTTACTAACCAAAGTGTATTTTTGGATATGGAAAATTACATTATGGATATATGGAGTGGTTTTTCAATTTGGATATATGAAATTAAAAATACGACTAGTAACAGCTGGAACGTAGATATCCAAAATGGGAGGTTTTTTTTCTAGTAAGAATTCTATTGTAGATAGATCTATCCACAATGTTAACTTTGGTTTTCAAAAATTATGTTGTGGATATCTGAAATTGAAAGCCCAACATGCGTGAATGGCGTAGTGACGTAATTTCTCCTAGGAAAAATGACTTTGTGGATAATGAAAAAGTGAGGTACATTTTAGAAGGGGAGCCACTTTTGTGGTGGAGTCTGTCTGCTGGGTTTAGGATAGAAGGCAGAGTGTTTTGTTTGGGGACCTAATAGTGACTAATCAACACCAATTCTTACCTGGTTCTTGTCCAGCCAGCTGATGACCTCATTGCACTTGTCCAAAATCTTCTGCTTGTCGTCTTCACTTATCTTGCCAGCAAGTTTTTCATCCTCCACAGTCGACTTCATGTTGAAAGCATACGACTCCAGGCCATTCTTAGCAGACACCTTGTCACGCTGGACGTCGTCTTCAGCCCTGTATTTCTCAGCTTCCTGGACCATGCGTTCAATGTCCTCCTTGCTGAGACGACCTGAGAACAAATGACAGAAATTGTCAAATTTGTGTCACAGCATACAGTATATAGAGTACTTTTAAGTTTAATGTAAAAAACAAACAAAAAAACCCCACCCTTGTCATTGGTGATGGTGATCTTGTTCTCCTTGCCAGTGCTCTTGTCTACAGCAGAGACATTCATGATACCATTGGCATCAATATCAAAGGTCACCTCGATCTGGGGAACACCACGGGGAGCAGGAGGGATGCCAGTCAGCTCAAACTTGCCCAGCAGGTTGTTGTCCTTGGTCATAGCACGCTCACCCTCATAAACCTGTAGGAAGTATTCAGGGTTCAGCAGGGAATTTTGACAACTATGTCTACAATTCTGACAACTTAATTTCGATCAGACATCCAAGGAAGGTCATGGCCATCTTTGGTCTTGAGACCTCTGGTGGAAACTACGAATGGCAGGAATAAACGTCATCACTGCGAAAATGAAGGACATGTATAATGAATTGTGTGCTTACCTGGATGAGCACACCAGGCTGGTTGTCAGAGTAGGTGGTGAAGGTCTGAGTCTGCTTGGTAGGAATGGTGGTGTTTCGTTTGATCAGGACAGTCATGACACCTCCAGCGGTCTCAATACCCAGGGACAGAGGGGTGACGTCAAGAAGCAGCAGGTCTTGGACATTCTCAGACTTGTCTCCAGACAGGATGGCAGCCTGGACAGCTGTAAAAACAAGCAGTTTAGACATTATGACAGTTTTGAAGATAGAAACTCTAATGTATGTCATTAAGGCCCATGTCCTCCAGCTGCTACAGCTGTGTTGCTCTTACGGTGAAAGCCAACTGAGAGAGGGCAATAAACTGGTGCGTGCATCCATCTGGCTGAAAACTTACCAGCTCCGTAGGCCACAGCTTCATCTGGATTGATGCTCTTGTTGAGCTCCTTTCCATTGAAGAAATCCTGGAGCAGCTTCTGGATCTTGGGGATACGGGTTGAGCCACCGACCAACACGATGTCATGGATCTGCCCTTTATCCATCTTGGCATCACGGAGTGACTTCTCCACAGGGTCCAAGGTGCCACGGAACAGGTCAGCATTGAGCTCCTCAAAACGAGCCCTGGTGATTGAGGTGTAGAAGTCAACTCCCTCGTACAGAGAGTCGATTTCAATGCTGGCCTGGGTGCTGGAAGACAGTGTGCGCTTTGCCCTCTCACAAGCGGTGCGCAGACGACGGACGGCTCTCTTGTTGTCACTGATGTCCTTCTTGTACTTGCGCTTGAATTCAGCAATGAAGTGGTTGACCATGCGGTTGTCGAAATCTTCCCCACCAAGATGTGTATCTCCTGCTGTGGACTTGACCTCAAAGATGCCATCCTCAATGGTCAAGATGGACACATCAAAGGTGCCACCACCAAGATCAAAGATGAGGACGTTCCTCTCTGACCCAACCTGGAAAATGAGAGAACTCTGAGTGCTGTGTATAGGTGATGGTGAAAACAACATGGTACATATATTATTGACTTAAGTCTCACCTTCTTGTCCAGGCCATAAGCGATTGCTGCAGCAGTGGGCTCATTAATGATTCTCAACACATTTAGACCTGAAATAGTTCCAGCATCCTTGGTTGCTTGACGTTGAGAGTCATTAAAGTATGCAGGGACCGTGATAACTGCATTGGACACAGACTGAAGAAAATGAAGAGAGGAATTTAAGTATACTGTGGCAGTACTGCAGATAGTTGCTCAACATGTTTTGTAAACTCACCTTCCCAAGATAGGCCTCAGCAATTTCCTTCATCTTTGTCAGCACCATGGACGAGATCTCTTCTGGGTAGAAGGTTTTGGTTTCGCCTTTGTATTCAACCTCCACTTTGGGGCGTCCACTATCACTTATTATATTGAATGGCCAGTGCTTCATGTCAGACTGTACTACTGGGTCCTCAAATCGTCTGCCAATCAAACGTTTAGCATCTGCAATCCCCAGGAAAAGACAAAGGTAAACTGTATGTTCAGATGCATCTGCTTAAAGATCTGGTATGCAGGATTTAGTGGCATCTAGTGGTGATGTTGAGGATTGCAACCAACTTAAATTTCTCCCGTGTGCCAAGCATGTAGGGGAACTATTGTGGATGATGCAAAACGTGAGCTAGTGTTTGGTTTGTCAGT